CTGGCATTGCACCATGATTAGTACTATTGTCAAATGCCATAACAGCAATTGCACTGGGATAAATTGTTTCAAAAATAAGAATGGAATAATTAATAACTTGATCAATCAAATGATCTGCTGTCCACCAGCCTTCTTCATTACGCTCCAGATAATAAAATATTTTATTTGTATATTTTAGACTAAAGGCATCAGATGTGTAGCTTGCACAGTTGTAATTTATAATTTATATTTTATATTATGATATCGCTGACTATTAAAAATTATTAATATTATATTTTTATTTATGTAAAGATTGGATAAAAAATGTTATGATAATAGAGATCATTACTGTAGTTTGTTAATATTTTTTATTTAATAATGAAACTGTTGAGATATTAAATTATTAATGTGTTTTATATATGATAGAATAATAAATATCTTCTAGGTGATTATATATCTCTGATAATTTATCCTACATTCTTATATCTAATATAAAATTATATAAAATATTAACTAAAAAATTACTTTAATTTATTGAATATTTAAGAATGCAGATGATTGTAAAAATAGCTATCACTATGATAAAGTAACCTTTTACTTATTATAAAATATCATTAAAATGCCAATTATTATTAATAATATGTATTATAACAGGAGGACAAATGTATTTCAGGTAGTAGTTATATACCTTTGGTAATAGATATTATTTTTTCTTTCTTGCATATTGATTCAATTATCTTTGCTATAATATATTCAATTTGTTACATATTAGGATATGAAAAAATGTTCAAATAATAGCTACTGTAATAAGATAATATATTTTTTCACATTCTATTATAGGGTAATATAAAATAATAAGTGTAGCTTACCATGCTTTATATTTTATTTATCTGTTTAGAAAGAAATATGTGCTTTAAAAGATATTTATTTGCCAGTAGTAATATACTTAATATTCTTACTTATCACGTAAATTTATTATTAATATTTTTATTTGTTGAATGCTCAGGGTTCAGTCAATTATGGCAATTATATTCACTGTAAAAAGGTAATTCCTATATTAAGATATTTAATGACTAACATTTTTATAATTTCTAATAATGTATATTTTTTTTACTTACTTTAGGATCATATCTGCTATAGTGCGAAACCTCTATAATCGACAATTTAATAGGCGTGACAAAATTTTGTAAAAAAAAAAAAAATTAAATTAAAATC